GAACGAAAAGGAAATTAAATTCTCGTACTTTAATTTCATCAATCAATACATCCTTCTACAATATAATTTTCGTAAAAATCGCTTTTTTCACAAGGAATTTACCGATTAGCAAGTAGCCGCTGGCGCAGTGCACACATGATCTTACTATACATGGCATATATGTGACGGTCATGTCACAATTTTTCCCTTAGTAACAAGGTAAAAAACTACGAGTAATATATTGATCCAAGTATTAACCAATTGTGCGTGTGCGAGCATGGAAAAGACGGATACAATTATACGGAATATATAGTGATCGAAAGAAAAAAAAAATACTACCAACGAGGCATGTTGTCTTGGAACCAGATGATGATTTTACAAGGAACTCCAATACACTCAGAGCTGAAATTTCTTATCTCCGCACCTAGATCACTCTCGCCAAAGCACCACCTATGGGATTCAAACAAATTATGAAAAGGTTCATTTCATAAACATTAACTTAAAATAAAATTGAGAGAAATGTTAAACACGTCCTTCATTATGTAAAGTCAAGTAAGCTAGCTCTTGTACTATAAGTTTCAGCAATTACACTCCTATTACGTAATTTTCGCCAAAATTAAGAATAAGACCAATAAAGTAGCTTATGTGTATAGTATACTTCTTAGATATAATGATATATTTATAACGTCAAATAAATACCGTAGTATTTTTAACTTATCAATTGCCCCGATGTATTATACTTCTTAGAAATAATGACATATTTATAATAATTAAAATAAAGATGAAAGAAAATTGTGACATCCAAAGTGTAATAACTACTCCGTATAATACCATCACAAAAAAAAACTACGTATAATAGAAACTTTTATGTTTAATGTTTACATTTAAATTTAAAATGTGACTATTTTTATGTTTAATGTTTACATATTCAAATGATTGTGATATTGTACTCTTAGCAACTTTAATTATATTATATATTTTTTAATAAATTTTATTTCAGTAATACTTTAAGATTTTTTTTTACTATACACGTACTATTTAAAATTTTAGTAATTCTCCTATATATAGGACTAAAACTAAACTAAATTCCCTAAATAGGACTAGAATTAAGCTTTTAATTCCCTAAATAGGACTCCGGATTACCATTATGCTCTCCTATATAATAACATTACAACCCTAATTCTAATTCTATCTCACGTATGCGGCTCTTCTCCTTCGCAGAAGTCTGCGCTCACAGGTCCTCTTGTGCAGCACCTCTACGTCGAGCCATGGAATTCGCCCCTTTCTCCTATGATTCTACATCTCTTTGAGTCTTTGACACCACCGCCGCTTCCACCACCGCCGATCCGGGTTTCTCCTACTCCCCCCCCCCCCTCCCCCCTACTCCTCCTCCTCCTCCTCTAATCTTCACGTTGAATAACATATTTTCCCTCGCTGATTTTACTGTTTTTTGGTAGACTTTTTCTGGTTTCATGAACATTTTAGGAGTTGGACATCAATTTTTCTGTTTTGTAAACATCGGGTTCTGATTTCTGATGACGTTAAATTTCCGATTTCAATGAGAATTTGGTTTTTCAGATTTTGAATATCGACTTTACATTTTTGCCAACTTTTTGGTAGTTTCATGTAGTACTTAATATTATATTATGGAAGAAAAACTTTTATGTCAAATATTAATTTGTATTGCCAATCTTTTGGCATAATTGACTAATATGGTATGGCAGATTTCATGGTTCAGATTTCTAATTTTAAATGAATTTCGGATTTCATTAAAAACTTTGGTTTTCTCGATTTTGGATGTTGGGTTCATTTTTGCCAAACTTCTGGCAGTTTCATATAATATGATTTGGCAGAAAAAAATTGTTTTATGGCAGAAAAATATTGTTTTCTTCTACTAACTGTCAAATATAATGATAAGAACTGTCAATATTATGTTTACATTTTTATAAAAGATGGCACAACTATGTTTTTATGTTAATAATTTTTTTTGCAGCAAAGAGGCATTTTCATAACCTGCGGTGGTGGCGCCACCGGTGGTGGCGCCACCGGTGGTGCCGGAAGTGACGGCGGCGGTTACTGCGGCGGCGGCGGAGGGTACGGCGCTGGAATTGGCAGTGCTAGAAGCGATGGCGGCATTTGGAGTGCTGGAGGCGGCTGTGGAACCTAGGGTTTTAGGTAGCTTTTTAATTTTTCTATTTTTATTTGTAAATAGATTTTGAAATTCATTAAGGGTAATTTTGTAAAGTCAATACATTTTTAGTCCTATGAAACATGGAACTCCTATTTGTGCATTTCTTCATTGTTTTAGTCCTATTTAGGAAATTAACTCTTAAAATTTCAAAATTACTTTCAAAAAACATTTCAAAATTGGGCCACGACTATTACTATTAGCAGGCATCACCGGACCTCTTGCGACCTATGCCGCCTCTATCTACTACACGCGAAGGCGCGAAGCGGAGTATATATGTGGTTGCTACATCATATGCTTTCCATGGATTTTGGCTTCGAAACATGTTAAAGCTAAGGATCGAGTTGGGACTTCCACAAATGGATCCAAACAATAATTTTTAGATACCAAGTCATCAATAGCCTTGGCCAAACTTTATATCTATCAATCAGTTGGAATTTGGAAATGAGCAAAGCCTATGATAGGGAGGAGTGATATTTTCTTTTTAAAGTAATGGATGTTATGTGTTTTGATCCTAGAGTGATTCGTCTTATTTAGCATTGTGTGATGGGTGCGGAGTACTGTATCCATTTTGATGGTGCTACGATTGGGCCGTTTAGACCACATCACGACCTTCATAAGGCAAATCCCCCTTCTCCCTATTTATTCATCCTTATTGCGGAAAGCCTGAGTTTTCTTATTAGAAAAAATGAGACCATGGGGAAAATTCATGGTGTGTAAGTGGCACGGGGAGCACCGCATACATCAGGCCTCTTCTTTGAAGATGATAGATTGCTTCTTCTTTTTTCAGAGCCAAAGAGGAGGAGAGTTCTATGATCAAAGATATTCTAAATATATACGCTTGTGCATCAGGGCAAAAGATAAATTTTGATAAATCCTCGATTTCTTTTAGTCTCAATGTTCAGGAGTGGGTGAGGAACAAGATTTGTGACTCTTTGGGTGTTTCAGCTGGAGAGATGTGTAATCGTTATTTGGGGCTACCTATGTTAGTAGGGCGGCGTAAGACTGAGATTCTGTGATATCTGAGAGAAAGAATCCTGAAACGTATTACTAGATGGAATAGCAGATTTATGTCTAAGGCAGGGCGGGAGGTTCTTTAAAGACTGTCATTCAAGCAATGCGACATGTGCCATGAATGTGTTTCTTCTACCGCTGGACCTTTGCTCACATATTGGTGGCGGGGGAAGGATTTAGCAGGGCGTGGTATATGGTGGAAATCCTGGAAGGCCTTATCCCGTCTCAAATCTTAAGGTGGATTGGGTTATCGATCTTTGAGAGATTTTAATATTGCTATACTGGGAAAACAAGCTTGGTGACTCAGTACTGACCCTGATTTGCTGGTGGGGAAGGTGTTCAAGGCTCGGTGTATTCCCAGATCCTGTTTTCTGGAAGAAAAACTGGGAAGCACTCCATCGTACATCTGGTGTAGTATTCTTGAAGCTCAAAGCATCATCCGGGTGGGGACCAGAAGGTGGGTTGGGAATTGAACATGCAAGATATCTTTGTTTGGTACGATAGGTTGTTGCACAAGCACGGCAATGGATTGGTTCCTTCGGCAAAGCCAAGTGGCATTTTTTATATGAATGTAGCTGCCTTCATTAAAGAGGATAGGTTGGCTTGAAATTTGGAAGAGTTAGATCCATCTTTAATGATCGGGACAATTCAAATATTTTGGATATTCCATTAAGTCATAAGGAGCTACGTGATGGGCATTGATGGATCAGGGACACCCGAGACATATACAGTTAAATCTAGATATAATTTAAGAGGATGACTGGTGATTTTGTGGAGAATAGTTGGATGGGGTTGTATCACCCCGGCCCTGTGGGACCCAAGGTAGTTACTCCGGACCAATAGTACTGTCCTCACAAACCGCCACTAGCCTTTTACGCGCACTTTGTCCTCACTCGTGCGCGTTCTGAGAAACTTCTCAGGGGGTCACCCATCCCAAGACTACTCCCGTGCAAGCACGCTTAACTTTGGAGTTCTTGGCTAATGAGCTCCCTTAAAAGGAGATGCACCTTGTTGGTATGAGTAGTACTATTAATCCATTTATATTAAATCTCAAGTGTTACAGGGGTGGACCAAAATGTGGGATTTTTTTCATATCACCAAAAAATAATCACTTTTTTGGCAAGTATGGCAGATGTGTTACCTACGACGGATAAGTTGAGATAACGACGAGTAAATATAACAGGTAATTGCAAATTGTGTAATGAGGATGACAAATCTAGGATCCGTCTTATTTAAAGATTGCAGGGCGGTGGTTGCAGCCTGGGAAAAAGTTGGGATTGATTTCTAACGACCTGCGCCATCTTGGCAGGGATAGATGAAGATATTTTTTACCACCTTCGTTGAGGATATCTTATGCATGTTTATAGGCACACTATGGAGCATATTGAAGGAGCAAAATGAGGTTGTGTGGAATTGATGCGTACTATTTAGTAGTACATAAACACCACATTTTAGCATGATTTTACATTATGTTTACTTAGCTTTTGTACAATTACAGTGTAATCTTTATCTTCTAAAATTAAAGAAGAATTAGAAGATATTAAGATATTTTGACATGTAAGCAAAAACATGATGAAAAGAAGAGGAAGGAGCTTGAGAGCATAAGGAAGGAGCATTGGAGACAGGAGGAAGCTTCATGGAGGACAAAGATGTGTGAAAATCGGATATGATTCGACCCGGAGATCATAAGAGATCAAATAAAGCAAGTGAACATGGGAAAATCAGATTATGTCTTAGACCCAACCACCTCACTTCTCCTATAAAAACACCTCTTTCCTTCCTATTTTATATACCAATTTAATCCCCTCTTTCATATACACTTTATTCTTGTAATTTAGGTAGTCTTTCCATCTTGGTTTTGCTACTTTGAAGCTTAATGAATTGTAAGTTGTGAGTTATTTTCTTTAATCTACTTCCTTGAATATTAATTTTTCCCTTAATACTATCTCTATATTAATGTTGGGGAGTGTTGCTAAGATGACAATTAGTTAACATCTCGACATAAGTTATAGTAGTATTTATTTTCTTCCTCTATATTAATGTTGGGGAGTGTTGCTAAGATGACAATTAGTTAACATCTTGACATTAGTTATAGTAGGATTTATCTTCTTTAATATTCTTCCTTGAATATTAATCAATTCCAATTCATATTTCATATTAATAATATGAACATTACTTAAAGGATCAACTAGTTTTGTTTCATATATTAATTAATACTAGATCAGAATCGATCGACGAATACGCTTGTTAATCGTTCGGTCATTTCACGGTAGTAAACTTGGATTATTAATGCATGCGTCTCGTGGTTAATAATCTAAGGGGAATTAATTATATTGATTAAACCAATAAACCGCTTGTGTTGAGGTTATCAATCTCAATCGTTTTCATCTTAAGTTTATTGCTACTATCGGGTTAATATACGGCACGTGTTGTATATTGACTCGGTAGTAAGTTTTATTAATGAACACGTCTCGTTATTAATAACTACCCTCGATGAATTGGATATACTCCTCGATTGAGTATTCGAGAGGAAGATAGTTAAAGATATAACCAGGATCGACGAACATTTCATTAAGTGGATAAAAGCAAATCCAAGTACTCATCTCTATTAATTAAACTCATATAAGTCGTTCATCTTCGTATTTAATTAATTAAAATCAAACACATCTAAAAAAAACCCTTGCTACTATTTAATTAAAAAGAGAAGTATTCATTTCCCTGTGGATAAGAACCTTACTACGCTAATACTACGTATAAGTGTTGTATTGATATTTATTTTGAGTGTACACCACGACAAAGTGCATGTCAGGAATCATCATTGTTTTAATGTTTTACAGGTGATAAACATGGGAGCTTCAGTTTTGCAAGGATGGCGGGCTGTCCAGAACCCAAGTGGCGGAGAAGGAGACCCGGTGGGTTAAACCTTCTGATGGAACAATCAAGATTAATGTTGATAGAGCCACAGATGATCATCGGGGATGTAGAGTTTGGGGATAGGTTGCGAGAGACCACAATGGCGAGCTTATATGAGGAGGATGGGAAAATTATTCTGCAGATTGGTCAGCAATCATCACATAGGCTCTTGGAGTTAGAGAGGCTGCCCCATGGGCACATAATAAGGGATGGAACAGAGTTGTGATAGAAACATACGTTCAGCCGGTTACAACAAGACTGGATGAAGATTCAGGAGACTAATATTTTGAAACTATCAGGGGTGATATTAGGCACATTCTTCATAATGAAGTTAGGTTTATTGTCCAGTATTTCGATTGTAGCATGAGTTAGCGTTGTATTTCGAGCCAGTTGACGAATGATTGTTTGGATTAATCTATTGATCTTGTTCCTTTAAAAAAAGAACTTTATCTATCACGACCAAATCAAGCATATAGACACACGATATCGCTATATATGTATTAGAGAACGCATTTCAAGAAAAGAGGTGCAACTAGCTTATGTGAACTTAAGATATAATGTTTGAGATATCGAGTATTGGTATCATCAATACCAATAAGATATAATGAATACAAGTTTGTAAACTTAAAACTAGAAAGAAGTGAAAAAATGAAATATAAATATAATTTTCTTTTTAATTTTTACTAATTCTTCCATTGAAAGTGTAAATGTGAGAAAAATTAAAGTTTGATTTTTTTTTAATAAAAGTGAAAGTATGGGATAGATTTGTGAATTTGATGACAGTTGAGGATATATTTAGAAATAATTACATTAATATGACCAAAATAAAGATGATTTACAAAAATATGATTAGTTACTAGAGTACTAATGAAATCTTAGTAATTCATGTTCAAGTTCTGAACTTAAGTTACTACAACACTATGTTGTAGTAATGAATAGTCATATTTATGTAATTAATTTTTATTTTAGTAATATTGTTGTAAAAACCCCATTTAGCTAATAAATCCCATTTTTAAAGAGGATTCAAGAGAATCATCAAGAGCAACTAAATTGAATTTGTATTAGCATCATCCTATCTATGAATTGAGGAGGTGCCTTAGCATATACGAAGTAAATAGGAGTTTTCCTAGCTTATTTTGTACCAAGTATTAAGCAAAAATTTGAAAATCACATATAGCAACAAAAATTCCCTTTATAAAATTCTTTCATCCAAAATACTCCATACTTAAAAAGAAGGCTCGTAAAATGGCTCTATACTCCACCCAATTATTTTTCACCATCTTAATTACTACGTACAAAATACTTTCCTCTTTTGGAAAGAAATATGTGGTCTACATCATTTCACTTTATTATACTCAATCCTCATCCACAACTTTTACTTTTTCAACCACTTCATTAATAACCGTGCCAAGTCAAATTAAGACACATAAAATGGGACGGAGGTAGTAGTAATTAACGGCTGGCCTTAGCTTGGTCAAATAAAAAGAAGGCTCGTAAAATGGGCACTCTCCACTCTCCAGCATTAGTGAATTAATATCAAATATTCAAATTAAGTTAAAATAGGGTTTCAAATAGAAAGAGCAAATCACAATCAACAATGAATCGAAATCCATGGAAATGCTTACCCAATGACGCATATGATGAGGCCCAATAAGGTGAAAATAGGGGATACCAAAATTGCGAAGGGCAGGCCGATGAGAAAGGGAAAGCCGCGGTATTGATCTCCATCTGCGATGGTCATGGCCTGACTTTGCTTCTTTTTGCACTGCTACCAGCTGGCCAAGCAAGAGAAAAAGCTAGCTACAAAGACTGACTTACACTCTCACATAGTCACATACTTACATAACATTTATAGGGACAAGCATCTTATCTACGCCATATTTTGTGTGCCTATTTCAATTTAAAGTTGCTACTTTAATTTGCTTGATTTCCACGGAGCAAATTTTCCTTGGCGGTTAGACGACTTTAGAGGAGTGAAAATATTACTCCGTATATACTCTTAAGAAGACCAAGACCAAGTCAATGTTTCAGCTATTACAACGTACGTACAAAACTGCATACTCTATATTCGGCTACGCAATTTTGAATTAAAGCTAAACGTTCATATTAAGAAATCGGCTACATCATCTATGTTGTTTTATTAAGAAATCGGTAGTGGATCATTCATTAATTACAAGGCCGCAGATAGTGAACTACCGAATGAGGTTCTGATCCAAGTACTCGTTGAGGTTCTATGCATTTTTACAAAGTAACTTCTAATCGCAATGATCATGATTTGAACTCAATACTTATTACCGGCCCTTGTGGGGCTCTATATCTCTAATTTAAACTACGTCTACCGACTGAAGTTCTTTATATAATTTACAATTGGTAACGATCATATATAAAAAGGGGATCCAGAAATAAAAGTAATTTGAGATTTTCAGGGGATATATAACATATACTCCGATATGGAAGAGGTTGGGCATTCGTATTAATCTTTCCAAACTAAAAAATTCTTGAAAAAATTGAGTCCGTATAACCCTTCAACTTTTGAATTTCAAAAACATCACCTTTTTTCTGTTTTACAAAAATATGACAAAACCTTATCTGCAACTTCCCCTCTCTCGACATTTCTCACTCCCCCCTCTCTCGGCAACTTCCCTCACTATTGCAACCCCTTCTGGCGTCGATCGGCTCCAGCTTCTGGCGCCCGACTCTGCCGGCATTGCACCGCCACCGCCTTAGGTCGCCGATTCCACCTTATGGAGTCCGCTTCTGCCGCCATCGTACGACGCCGTCTCTTCTTCTTCTTCTTCCTCCTCTTCCTCTTCCTCCTCCTCTTCCTCCTCCTCTTCCTCGTCCTCCTCCTCCTCCTCCTCCCCCTCCCCCTCCCCCTCCCCCTCCCCCTCCTCCTCCTCCTCCTCCTCCTCTTCCTATTCCTCTTCCTCTTTTTCTTCCTCTTCCTCTTCCTCTTCCTCTTCCTATTCCTCTTCCTCTTCCTCCTCCTCTTCCTCCTCCTCCTCCTCCTCCTCCTCCTTTAATCCCTTTCCGATTGATGAAGCAATGACAAAGATGGACCAGCATCAACACGGTAGAAAGACTAGGGTTTCCAGATCTGGTTGATGGAGTAGGGTGTGGCTAGGTTTTGCCTAGGCAAAGGGGGCAGAGGTGGTTCAGTGGCAGGGGAGGGAGACGGGTTAGGAGTCTTGGGCAGCGCAGGGGTGTGTGGTGGAGGGCTAGTGTGCGGTGGCAGGCCGGAGTGGTCGCATCGGTTGCGGGAGGCAGGGGTAGGGTCTTGTGTATTGATTTGCATGGCTGGGATGTGGTGGGTGATAGGGTGTGGTTATTCAGGCGGCGAGGCTGGGGTGGTGGCAATGTCGGCAGAGGGCTAGGCTGGGGTGAAGCAGGACAGGGGACTGAGGTGAGGGTGGGTTCGGGAAAGGGGGGCCAGCCGGCTGGGGTTAGGAACGGGGTCGAGTAGAGGGCTGATGTGAGGCAGGAGCTATATATGGTGACGCAAGGGAGGGGGCTAGGTGACGCAAGGGAGGGGGCTAGGTGACGTAGCAGACTGGAGTGTGGTGGTTGCCAGCGTTGGCCAGAGGTGGTGGTTGCCAATGGTGGACTGGGGATGGGGCTTGTGTTGAGGTGCAGTGGTCGCCTTGCTGACCGGGGTGGTTGGATTGAGGTGGTTCAGTGGAAGGGGTGAACATCGACAATGACTTGTCGGGGGAGGGGGGCGGCAGTGACTGGGCAGGGCAGTGACTGGCTGGGGGTGGTGGCAGTCACGGGCGGCGGAGTCACTTTCAATGGTGGAGGCAGTCACTGCCCGACGGTGGCAAACACTGGCGTTGAGGAGGCAATCAATATAACCGGAGTCATTGAACGGTGGTCAGTAGGCGGGAGTCACCGTGACTGGCGGAGTCACCGTGACTGGCGGAGTCACTTTGGCCGGATTCACTTTGGCCGGATTCACTTTGGCCGGAGTCACCGTGACTGCTGGCGGCGGCGGCGGTGCTGGCGGCGGCGGCTGTGCCCGTGGCGGCAGCAGAGGTGGTGCTGGGGTCGGCGGTCTGGAGGTGCTGGTGGCTACCAAAGATGACTATTAATCAAATGTGTAAAAAGAATATTAAAATAATAAATATATGATTAAAAATAAGGAATAAATGAGTTTTAGTCACATTTTTGAAAAAAATTAAAACATGTCACTTTTTTATTTTTTTCATTCATTTTAGTAATATTGGAATAAAAAGGTCAAAATTCTTCTAATTGTTTATTTATATAAAAGTTTTTATAATAAAAACTGGATAGAAATTTAAGAGTTATCTAGTGTAATTTTGTTAGTACGGAGTATAAGTTACTCTCCCCATTCATTAAGATTTTACCAACTTTCTTTTTTTTGTTCCATTAATTAACTTTGTTGCTTTCTCTTTTAACTAAAGAATTTGTGATACTAATTAATTCGATCTCTTTCCTCTGTACAAACATCAACGATAGAATTTTTAAGGGATGAAGAGAGTACAACGATTTACCAAAATAAAAGCGAATGTCGGAATTGGCTCTTCCGACCAGAGTTTGGTTTTCTAAATAAGGGGGTGGACTAGTGTCGGATACATCAATTCCGACTATAGGTATATTTTATTTTTAGAATTCATTTTATTTAATGAAGTGCCTTGAATAAAGTTCCGAAACTTTTAATGAAGTGTGTTGGCCAAAATACCCCAAAATTTAATTAGCTTTCACACTTTATTAATTAACCGAATTTTGGTAGGTGCTTTGAATGATTCTTTTTTTTAAAATAAAGTAAGTTTTTTTTCTTTTTAAATTGAAGTAATACGTACCGTGCAATTTTTAAAAATGAAATATATGCATTTTGATTTTTTGAATAAAAAAGTTGATTTTTCATTTGTTTTTTTTTTTAACCAAGACTAGCAACTTTATTAATTCAAAAGATCATTCGCCAACTGGCTTACAATACAGTTCAGGATAATATCATAGCTACATCTATGATCTGAGATGGATACATGCGCTCTAGCAAGCTTATGAGCTACACGATTCACAGATCGTGAACAAAAAGAGATAGAGAAATTACTCTTTGTAACAAGTATGGAGCGAATATCATCAATAATCAAGTCCAAATAAGCCAAACCACCGCTGCTTTGGATGCCTCTAATGACCACCTGTGCGTCTGACTCCAGCTCGATCCTTTCCCACCCATACTTCGTATATAATTTTTCATTTGTTTAAAATGCAATTTTTTGTAATTTTAATGGAAGTGAACAACAAATTAAACCAAGCATTCCAGTTCAAAGTGTTGCCTATTATTTGTACTGCATATTGAAGTTCACAGTGTTTCATATTATTGAGTTTGTAGGTTAGTATTTTAAGCGTGGTTTGTATTTGATCTTTTATCTGTCCATATATATATATTATATATATGGACATTGACCGGTTTTTTACGTTGACCGAATTAACCCATCGGGTCCTGGTTGACTCGTGACCCAGTCATTTGTTGGGTCGCTTCCCTGGTCCGGGTTTTTAAGCATAGGCCAAAAGTCGACTTTTACTCTGATTGGAAGTACCAATTCCGATACGAGTAAAAGGGGTGTATCTCTTTTTTGGATTTTAATTTATTGTGGCATACTTCGTATATAATTCGTAAAAAAAAAAAAAGTGGTTCTTCTCCTTGTCGGATTTACCAATTCCGACAGGATAATTTTTTTTATTTTTTATTTTAATTCATTCACGATATACTACGTATAGTTTCCAAAAAAAAAGTTTTCCTTGGTCGGATTACCCAATTCCGACACCTTGGTCGGATTTTGGTGTATAAGTTATAATTCTACATTTTGGTGTGTCAGACCAAAAACTCCCACATTTTGGGAATTTCCTCCAGGGAATATAAGTTATAATCCAGGCCTCCTTTCTTTTTTAGTTGAAATGTTTTCATTTTCACGTTTATCAACGCACACCTTTGACTATTAATATATTTCTTTTTTTATTTGTAAAAATTAAATACTTTAGATGTTAAAACTGTAAAGTGAGGGGAATTTAAAAATATATTTCAGAAATTAAATATTCAATACATTAATAGATAAAATATAGTCAAACATGTGAATAATGTATTATTGCACATTTGGACATATTGCATTTGTTTAATATTTCAAGTCATTAATGTAGTAAACTTTGGACAATGATTTTGATTAGTATAATAAATTTATGAAATCTTCTATTGAAACGATCTGTGGCATCTACATTGTTCTTCCCATGGCACATCCAAAGTCTCGTTTTGTGGATAGGCTCCCAAAAGGCTTTTGAATCTATAGAACAGTTTTCTGGCCGGCTCAAGCAATCCGGGTTCCCGATCAAGAGGACGGCAAGGCTTATATTCTATGTTCTTATGTTCAGTTATAGAGGCTCATATTTCATTGATAGGAATGCTAGCTAGTAATAAGCACCATTGGCATTCCGGACTTTTTTGGTCAAGAGTAGTTGTTATCCGCCTATCTCACGGATGTGAATAGTCAGATGAGGGACGAAAGGAGTATAACGTTTACAGGAAATGTACATTGATATAATATTACAAATAAAGAGCAAATTTGACCTTGCTTCACCCCAGTTTTTGAAATATTAGACATTGCATCTCATTTTCAGAATTATTAAAGCATGCACCTCATTGAACATAAAATCATTTAGCTTTGCACCTCATTCAATTCCTACATGACTTTTAAGTGATGGGGATCATACATGAGGTGCAATGTATATTATAGCTCAAACCGTTATCGGTGTAAATATGAATTCTCCCTATTAGAGATGTACATTGAATATTTATAACATGTGCATACAAAATTAGAAAAATGAACTACCTAAATGATGATGAATGGATGATGTCCATGGTATTCGTCTTTAATTAGTATATACGGATTGTATATGCATAGAGGATCGAGCATGAGCATCCTTATCATCACGACCGCTACAATTAACCACTACCTTCGTGCCGTCGGGTAGGGTAGGGCAAAGCTTATCAAGAAATGCTAATGCGTGACATGTCTCCAAGGCTGGAAATATCCCTTCTAAATTACATACCCTTTTGTATGCTGCAATGAATTAAACATACACGAACATATATATAACTATGTACAAAATAAATTAATTGCCTTACCAATATTAATTACAGAGGTATTCGGATCTACTTCTTAAAAGTACTTCTGCTTCTTAAGAGAACATAAGCAGATATTGTAGTGATTGGATGGAACCGCAAAAGTACTTCTGGGTGCTCCTAGATTCAGTTTTTTAGAAGTTGGAGGAGACCAACTTTTGAAAAACTGATTCTACTTCTGATTTTATAAAAGAGGCCAAAATATAATCAATTGCAAACACCCCTTAAATACTTTAAGTAGATGTAGGATAAAATGAATAAACAGTACCATAATTATTCATATTGTTGCTCTTTAGTAGTTTAACTCTTAAATATACCAAATCAGAACCATAACTACAAGTAAATGTTTCGAAATACAAAAGTATTCGAATTTTGGTCGCTACATGTATAGGATATTTTAGCCTGAAATCTGAATAATTTTGTCGGTTGAATCATTTACGTATTTTTAATTGTGGTACTGATATATGGAATTATGGAGTATTTCATTAAGAATTAAAGTGCCAAAGTGCAACTAAATCAATAACTAACGTATTGTTTAGGAAAAATTGAAAATAATAATCCTAACTATTGCTGCTCCGCTGAAAATAATCTCAACTATTGATTATTTTTGTATAATCTCAACTATATAGACTATCCGCTAATAATGGTCCATGACCAGATATTACCTCTATAAAAAGTGAATTTTAAATAGAAATTAAGTGTAAAAATTAAAAGTTGAGATTATTTATAGGGATTACTTGTTATATCTCATCTCATCCACTTTAGAAACTACAAGAATTTATTCATAGAGACCATTATTGGCGGAAGGTCCATAAAATTGGGATTATTCTGGAATAATCAATAGTTGGGATTATTATGAGCGGACCGCCAATAGTTGGGATTATTGCTATCAATTTTTCCTTATTGTTTATGCATTTACCCACTTCACTTACGTATTAATTATACCTTGCATGGCTTCCTCATCGGTGACAGTATAACACTCTAAACGCCCTATGTCTTTAAGATAACTAAGCTCTGGGCTAACCGCAGGATATTCCATTCCAATCCCAACCGAGTAGGGTTTCATGATTTGGCCATCCTCGTCTTGTAAAACATAGCTCATTGCTCCATGATAGACACCAACCTCACCCCTTGTCAAAGTAGCAGAATGTCTTCCACTATGTAACCCGACACCGGCGGCTTCAACTCCGATCAATCTCACATTTGGGTCTCCGATGAACTCGTGAAAGAGTCCCAATGCATTTGACCCACTCCCAACGCATGCCACCAACACTTCTGGTTCACCGCCCCACTTTTCTATCGCCTGTTTCCTTGTCTCTTTCCCGATGATCGACTGAAACTCCCGAACCATGGTCGGGCATGGATGGGGTCCCACAGCGACCCCTCCCAAGAAATATGACGTCTCTAGGTTCTCTATCCAGCTTCTTATTGCATCTGATATTGCATCCTTGAAGGTTCCCTTTACTACCATTTTCACCTAGATAAATTTGAAGGACTATATAATTGAAACACAAAAGGCACGCTCACTCCTAATATTAACATTTAATGATTTGAATACTAGACTTGTAATCCATTGATATATATCGCTGGAAACTGACATGACATATACTACCTCCTCCGTCCCAAATTGATTTGCAAATTTGACTTTTCTTGGTCAAACAGTTTCGTTTTGTTCACTTAATTAGGATACCAATTTTTAATTATATTCTAATTTGGAGTTTACAACTTTGAAGAGATTTTGATATAGTTTATGAATATGTAAATTTTAATTATTAAAAATTGAATTGATTATGCATAGGGAGAATTGACTTTTATTATTGGTTGAACAAAAAAAGTTGACTTTGCAAAACAAATTGGGACGGAGGAAGTATATTTTTGTATAAAAAAACAATCTGGACGGAAACAATGGCATTACAAATCAAAAGTAGTGGAATTCTCCAACCTGGAACATGATATTTTCAAATCAGATAATGTTCTTCTCAAATCAGTTATTGCATTTGTAGATTCAATCATTGAAATGTACAGAAGGAAATTAGAAAATAATGGCATTTTAGATTAAAAAAAATACGGAGTATAAGGAATATTCATATTAGAGGGAGGATTCGAAAGAGGGGGGCAAAGGGGGTGAATATGTATTATTTTGAGAATTTAAATTATGTGATATTGTCATTGAATTAATGCTATGCATGTGTTAGAGCAAGAAATTGACGGGTTATGTTGCATTTAAGAGAGTTGACCACAAGAGTTAATGGAGCATCCACAAATCTCAATCCTAATTATTGTAACGTTTTTTATACATTATTAGGCTCTTTAATGTGATTAAGGAAGATATTGATAGTAATTGACCAGTTTTTATGACAGATTCGAAATCATCATAATGTACAGCCAACTCGTCAGTAACGAACGGCCAACCCGTCAATAACGGACAAAGCCATCATGAGAGCATTAACTACCCTTCCTATAAATAGGATATCCCTCATTGTAATCCGCGAATACATAGAACTTCTCATATGTTTTGAGGTTCTAGCCATGCAAATACTTTATATATATGTATGTATCCATCCATGCATCTATATTTATATTTAGCATTTCTAGGAGGGCATAAATTAAAGGAATTTTTGCCCTAAATGGGACTAAACTATTCCTGAAATTCCTAAATAGGAGTATACTTATTTTTTTGCCCTAAATAGGACTGATTTACCCATCTACCCCTATTTTCTTTTCCCCCACCTACGCATCTTATTTCTTCCCTCCCCAGCCTTTCTTTTCCTCTCCCCCTGCGCATCTACTTCCCCTACCCAACTTCTTCTTCTTTCCCTTCGCACATGAAGAGCCAAACCTTCAAAGCCTGCTGCCATTGACGCGAAGCCCGCCTCCTCTGCCCAGTCGAAGTCCGCCGCCGTCGCCGTCGGAGATCTTCTTCTCTTCGAAGGTAAGGTTCTCTTCTTTTGATTTTTCTCCTTGTCCTTCCTCACCTCTTCTCTAGTCCTCTCCTCCCTCTTCTATTTCGTTGCATATGCTCCATTTCTTCATGATTGGTGAAAAATGCCAAGTTCAAAATGGCATTCTTATTCTACAAACTTTTCTATTTTTTCTTTGAAAATGCCATTAAAATAGCATTCTAGATTCATGTTGGCATTTTGATAAAAACTTTGGCATTCGTGTAGGCAACGGCCAGATCTGCAAAGATACAGGCCAGATTTGAGTGGAAGATGGCGGATCTGCTACAAAAGTGGCCGGATCTACAAAAATAGTGGCTGGACGCCGGCGGAACAACAGTGCCGCCAAATCTGCAGTGGAAAAGACCATATCTACGGCGGTGGCGGTGGTGGTGGCGGTGGCGGTGGCGGTCAGATCTGTAGCAGAGGCCGGTTTGACGTGGCGGTGGCGACCGGCGGCGTCCGGCGGATACCGGCGACTGGAGGTGGCCCGGCACTCTGGTCGGCAGCAGTGATTTCCCAGCCTCAAGGGTGTTTTTGTCCTGTTACATATAATAACTCCTATTTAGGGAATTTTTTATATTGAGTCCTATTTTAGCCATTAAAGATGCATTTAGTCTCATTTGGGTAAATACCTCTAAATTAAAATGAACTAGCTCATCAATTAGATACTCCTAAATTAATGTGGTGCGTACCTTAGCACCAAGATGGTTCATGAGGAGGACGTTAGACGGATTTCTCTCCATATCAAAGTCTCCCATAAAAATCTCACATACCAAGTCAAGTTTGGCACATGCAGCGGCGGTAGCAACGCCGTGGTGGCCAGTGCCTGTGGCGCTCACAACACTTCTGAGGCCCATCCGCTTGGCTAGGATAGCCTGTGCGATGGCATTGTTTATTTTGTGAGCTCCACCGTGGTTTAGATCTTCTCTCTTGAGATAAATGTCCGGTCCTTTATAATTGTTGTTGCGGCTTTTGTAGTGATCTGTGAGCCTCTGAGCCCAGTATAATGGAGTTTCGCGTCCCACGTAATCCCTCAAAGCAGTTTCAAGCTCTTTCTACAATAATGTATGCTCCCAATGATAAGTTCTAAATAAGAATAGATGCAATAATAGAACACAATTATTCATTTATATACTTCGTATAAGGTTATTAGTATAGTATCTTAAAACAAAACTCATTAGCTCTTAAACAAGAAGTATTAACTATTACACTCTTCTTTCATTCAAAATGAAACATATTTAATTTCAGGTGACAACTCCGGTACCCTTTTAAAAAATGGGGTATCGTACCCACCATGTATTTGATTGGTCCAAATTATTCTATTCCTTTTACTTTAGATTTAATTAATTCAACTGCATCATTCCTATTGATCCATGTGGATAAAGATATGGGTACACCATTATTTTACTCCTATCTGCAGCAATTTCAAGAGAAAGAGAGTGAAAATAACAACTTTTCGTTAATAGGATCATAATTAACTATTTTAATATTATCATCAGCTACTTTAGACGAAGTATGTATATTCTATTGAAACATTGCTAGTAGTACTATTTTATTTATTATAATTCGTATAAAGAGAGTGAAAAGATTATACTACTATTTAAAATATTTATTATTAATAAAATAAAGAAAAAATTATATAAAAATTTTGTTAAAATGTTCTTCTATAGTAACTTCAGCTAATACAGCCAGAAAAGTAACTTCAACCTTAGTTTTTCTTATTATTAACAATTTAGCGCGCACAATAAAAAATTTCGTGTTTGGACAAAAAGTTGGATGATAAGCACGATAAGCCTAAAATCATAGTCACCAAACGGGCTCTGATCTTAAAGTTAAGATCTTAATATCGTGTAACATAATTTCATGCTGAAATTAGGAGATATTTTATATGTTGGATTACAGTGTAGCTAAAGGGACATTAAGTTCAAAAGCATTTTATTAAAAAATAACAACCCTAATCGAATAAACGTAACAAATAATTGTCACAAACCTTCTCTATTGACACATTTAGCCACTAAATAAAATGTCTCCTTATTGCATTATGAAATTATGTTATACAATCATGACATCTTAATTTTACAATATGGATCTAGTTAAAAAAAATGAAACTAAAAAACCCCCACGAATTTAAAAAAATGTATCATAATTCAAAAAAAATTATTATCTTTCATATGACATTGATAGTGCATATATGAAGATAAAATAAATATAAGATTATTGGCTAGCGTTCGAAATTGGTGGGTTCTTTTAGGAATTTATTCTTAACTAGATCTTAATTTCGTAAATAATTTTTAATTTAACATTATTTTAGAAACAAACTTAATATTTTATACTTAAATATTTGGGGTAATTTGAGTTTGCACCCCATTTTTTTCTGCAAATTGGACTTTGTACCCCATGTTTAAAAAACTTTGTTTTTGCACCCCAACCCCATATGAAAAGACAAAATTGCCCCTCCATTAACAAATTTAATTTGTTGGCCTTCAGCATATTCATGATCGAGGGCATTTTTGTCTTTTCATACGGGATTGGGGTGCAAAAACAAAAAGTTTTGAAAATGAGGTGCAAAATCCAATTTAGACAATAAAATATGGTGGAAACTCAAATTACCCCTTTATGATTTTAAAGTTTGTCTAATGATTATGTGTCATACTGCTGTTCACATATGCTCCTATCTCCGCTTATGTGATTTGGAGAACTAAGGGAGTCTTTCTATTCTTAAAAAAATGCTTTTAACCTTTTAGCTTTAAAAACGTAGTTATAGATAGAGGTGTTCAGGTCTACTTTTTAAAACTATTTCTAGTATGTCTATGAGCAAAAGCACATATTGGAGTATTTATGCGATGATGGGGCGTAGCTCAACTAGTAGATAGGGGGTGTCACAAGGGGTAAGTCACGGGTTCGAATCCCAACAACTACGATGAGAGGTTACTATACTAAAAATGTATAGGGCCTCGATCTGCAAGTACTAGGGCTAGAGCCACACTCTCTATCTGTCAACTTGTAATTAAAGTACAACTTACATCCTCCCAGCTAACTATCCGGCCGGTGTTGGGGGCCCTCGAAGATGGGGTGTCATCTTTTTTTTTTAATGTAAAATGCATATGTACTTTTTGTGCTCTACAAGGCTCATTCGGGTTTTGAAGCAAGTAAAGCAACTATCTTAAAGCTAGAACCTACGGCATGTATATAACCGTTCTAAACTATTTTTCACATTTTATATTAGAGAAAACATACTATTTACCAAATGTTTCAACTTCAATTTTTTGAAAATTACTTTTATTTTCAAACATTATTACTCCATCTAACATATTAATTATTTTTCTTCTAATCCCTAAATTCAGTCATTTCCAGAAGTATAAGAAATGCAACACATCCTCATCATAATATAATTACCACAAAGTGGACGTCACGGAGAGCTTGATTAAATTCATGATCCAGCTTACTCAAAGATGCCATGAGTGTCTCCGGTACAAACTTTCCACCATAAATTCCAAACCTCCCATCATCATAATAGGTGCCCATCCCAGATAGCCCTGCAATGATAATGGGCTTCCTGATGTTGGGTTTCAAGTTGGATAAAGTCTTCATCGTCCTCTTCCTCATCGCCAGATGACGGTGTCGAAAGGAAGGTCTCCGGGCCACCGCGGTGGCAACACGAACACCGCCAGCCCCGACACAACAAGAAATCCTGGGTTTTGCCTGTATTTCTTGGTATTGATAAAGAAATGTACAAATAGTACTAGGAGGAAGTAGTACCTGGTTAGAACACATCTTTACCTTACTACTACGAGGTGCTGTTGAGGGTCCAACACGAAATTAAACAATTTAAGAAACTGTTGATCTGAGTAGATGTAGTAGCCTACTAGTCTTAGAGCCGTGACAAAATTTGGTGCCTTTTTAATTAGAAGTTATTTTAGTCTCAAAATCAGACCAGACCAAACCAGTTCATATCAAAACAGACGAAACCAGATCTTTATCCTTTAATTAGTGTTAAATACGAAGTAATTTTTAGTTTATTGTTTATTGAAATTATAGATTTAGTTTGTAACTACTTTTGGTTGCCTAACTTGTCTCCGCTTTTATTCACTTGAAGATGTGATCTAATTACTAATACGAAGTACATTTGTCAGTGTTAAAATTACGTACCGTTGACGTTGATGATGTCTTTTCTGGTATGTTCTTTAGTGGAATAGGATATATACCCGTCTCAATGGATCTTGCCAAATCTAAAGTAGGTGAGGAATAAGAAAAGTAAAGGTTATATGATTGAAATTTGTAAGGAGTCAAAAATGAGTAAAACTACAATTTATTTATTTTAATAGAAAAGTAAGAATTGTTTTAGAAATAACTAAAAACGGAAAGTTAATAAAATCTAGAGAAAGAGTATATATATATGTATGAAGTATGTACTACATACGTCGTATAAATATGTATGTGTGTACGAGAGAGAGACACAACTTTGCTTCCCGAATTAGAAATACATTTCATATATTCCATATAAACTAATTAAGTATGTGTAGTGTGTACTGGAGAAATGATTGGCAATTTGCTCCCCGGAATGGCCTGGCAAACAGCTCACAGCCTCACAATGTCAAAAAAAAACAAAAAAAAAAAAGGATGACACCCCATCCCTGAAGGCCCTCCAACACCGACTGGACGGCACGATGGGAGGATGTAAATTGGACTATAATCACAATCTGACAGATAGAGAGTGGGGCTCTGTCCCCGGTACTTGCAGAAGCCCTATGCATTTTTCAGCATAGTAACCCCTCATCGTAGTTGTCAGGATTCGAACCCGAGACCTAACCCTTGTGACACTCCCTCGCTACTAGTTGAGCTACGCCCACTGGTAGCCTCACAATGTCGTTCAGACTGCATTGTGAGTTGTATACCGGAGAAACGATTGGGAATTTTGGTAACATTCAAATAATGTTAATTGCTTACCACAATTAACATTATGGTAGGGTGGATCGGGGTGGGGCCGAGGTAGGGGCATGTAGTAGGGGGTGGGGTAGGGTCATTATAGGGAAAATGGGTACGCGGGGTGGGGTGGGGTTGGGTGGGTAGGGTAGGGTAGGGTATAGTAGGGGTTAGGGGTAAGGTACGAGGATGGAGGTACCGGAATGGAATCGACATCAGAGCGGAACCGGACCCACCACTAGGTGTAATTATGCAAATTCATTGCAGCGACACTGTAGCATCTGCGTTTTCCAACTTTGGAAAACTAGTAGAAGTCATTTCTCCAAATCATTAAGGAAAAGAGAGATATGTCTCATTTTTTCCGTTTTGGAAAACGATTTGGTAAACGCGTTTTTCTTTTTCCCTTTCTCCAGTTTTGCAGCAATTTTTTTGGTAAACATGTTTCCTGTTTTTTGTTTTCTAGTTTTCTGGAAAACTGGAAAATATCTCGATTAATAAAGAGGCCCTAAGATTTCCATTTCACAAATAGACGACCCTGCATACATAAACCATCCACCGTAATGTATACGGAGTATTACAGAGAAGCGGGTATAATTGTATAAAGATCCATTCATCCATCTACTGCTACACCTTTTATAAACTAATACAACCTCCAAGATTTACTTAATTTATGTTTTTAAATAGAAAAACATCGTAAAATATTACAAAAGTGTAAAATATATAAACATATACAAATAATAAAAAATCAAATAAAAATATCAAAATATCAAAATTAACGAAAACATGAAAATGCATAATACGGAGTAATAAACAAGAGTCTAGAACTTCTAAATTAAGTTTAAATATAGAAAAGGTATAAAAATTATAAAAAAGATAATAAGTAAAATGTAAAAAAAAAACGTATTCAAAACTTATAATAATACAGAACTCCAATGCTGTTCAAAAATTGTAAAATTAAAAAGAAATTCTTGTAATATAATTTTTTAAGCAGAGTTTGTATACCCCATGATCTATATAAAAATACAAAAAACTGTCATGACAATCAAATAAAACGACAATGTTATAAAATTAATACAGAAAAGGAAGATATATGAAAAATATAGAAATATAAAATGTAAAAAACCGAAAAAAATCTCAAAAATGGAAATAATGTAAGTTATATATTTTTTTGAATAAAATGTAAGTTATATTTAAAAAAATTTAAAACATTAAAAATTACTCCCTCCGTTCTCTAATAGATGAGATTATAGAGTTTGACACAAGTTTTAAGGGATTAATAATAGGGGTAGTGTCGGGTCGTGGGGGGCACTTGGGGTTGGCGATTCAACCTTTTTTTGGAGCAATAATAGGGGTAGTGTAAAAGATGTAATGAGTTGTGTTTGAATGAAAAAGTAGGAAAGAAAATGAAAAAGTAGGAAAGAGAATGAGGGTATATAAGTATATTTATTGAAAAAACATTCTAAAAATGAAAAGAGGGACAAATATTAAAGAACACCCCAAAATAGTAAGTGAGACATCTATTAGAGAACAGAGAGGGTATAAAAATAAAATATAAAATAAAATAAATGATTTTATTGTTGATTTTTGTTGTGTATTGTTTATTTTTGTTTCTTTTTTTATATATAACTTTGAAGACTTTGTTTTTTACTATTTCTTTATGTTTCGAGTTGTTTTAATATTCGTTCATCTAAATTTATAAATTTAAGCATTTACATATAAATTCATGATAAATAATAAGCTAAATATTAAACAACGAAACTAAAATCAACACTAAGTAACACATTGCAACAAAAAGCAACATGATACAACCTAAAGAAACACAATACAACACAAAGAAACAAATCTTATACAACAAAAAGAAACAAAAACAACATAAAATTGTATTGTTATATTTAATTTATTACATCTATCTATTGTAAGCTTTGGCATTGCTTGATTGCATTTCTTCTTCCTTCTATGCATCTTATCGCATAATCCATCAGATTTGTCTTTATTATCCTCATTTCTTAGTTGATCTTCTTAGGGCCTGTTTACTTTCGACTTAATGGGCTTAATGGATTTAGTGACTTAATCGCTCAGCTATATAGTTATGTTTATATAGGACTTAATTGAAATCGTCACTTATTCGCTCAGACGGTTCATGACTTATTCGGTCCGCTCAATTTTATTACTCCTTACCATTCAGACGTACCCGCGTACACGGTGTGCCATCTTTTACCCTGGCTTCTCCTTTAGAATAATTCATCGACGATATCTCTCCAGTCCCGCCACAAACCTGCATACGTTGTCGACCGGAGCAACCCAAAGAGCTATCACGGAAGCAGCGAGGAGGTATTTTCTCCAGTTTCATCTTCTACCTTCTTTATTTCCTCTGTTTTTATATACATTAGTTATTTTGTTCTGTTTTACACTGTAAAGTTTCTCCTCGTTCAATCATTCTCTAATCTCATCCTCTACTTGCGAAATACTTTTTTATGAGATATTCTTAAACCATCGGTTATATGTTCTAAATTTTATTACATGAGATCTTATATATGATATTTTGATTTATTGGGATGTTTTAATACCATAATCTTAGGAAATTTTATTTTGATTGATGTTGGTCTACACAGTGACTTTTTCCCCAATTTGAGGCGAATTGTATCTGCAATATTTGTATGTTGTTGCCTGAAAAAGGTGGATGCTATACTTAATTAACGGAGTTAGGTTGGAGTCCATCTTGGTTGCCCAATTAACGACATTACTAACATCAAAGTGTCACTGTTTTCCCAAAAAAAATATGAGTGTTGATTAGTGACACTTTTTTTTACGGAGTAAACGCGCGCTCCTTAGCTCCTCATTAGACACTTAATTGGCCGGCCCTTATCATTTTTCTTTTCCAACAATCAAACACTTTTCTAAAAAAACACATTCACCTACATACGCCCGCACTACTCCTACAAACCCTTACATTCCTAATTAGAAATTTCAGCCTCAGTGAGCCTAAGTGAGAAATACTGAGCGACGAACCCTAACTGAGCGAAGAACAATCGAGCTGAGTGCGGGACTTGCAGCGACGGAAGAAATTTCAGCCTTCCTTGCGGGACTTGCGGCGATTGTTGAGATCGAGTGCCTCCATTGTCGATCCTATGCGAAGAACGACACAACCACCCGTCAACGGTCAAACATCTTCATCCTCGTCGCGCGATGGCTGCTATCAATGACCTAAAAGTTGGACTAGGCCGTTAGAGCACATAGTGAGGCAAAGAGCACATAGTCGGGCTTGTTAATCGGAGTTCTGACTAATAGGCCACCAGACCGCCTACTCTGCCAAATCGTCCAAATCGGCGAAATAGGCTAGTCGGCGCAGCGGGTTATTTTACGATCCTAGGTAAAAAAAACATTTGCCGCTTCAACTTCAGAAGTTATACGCCAGCTTCTCTTTTTCCTTTTAGCACCGCCGTAGATCTGAATCTTCTCAAGGCCGTCACTGCTTCTCTTTCGGTTTCGAGCGTAGGTACCCTTCTTCTCAAACCTGTCACAGGAATATATCTTTATAGCTTCTCTGTTTTTTCTAAACTTTGAAATTTTGGATATTTGATTTACAGTCCGAAAGGTGTTTCTATATGTGTTAGATTTTTAGCAATTGATAGTAAATGATTAAACATTTAAGCTTACGTATAAATTCTTGGGGAACCACACAAATACACAGTCTTAGTATTTCAATGAAATTGTGCATGTTTAGTGTTTGGTAAAAGTCCTGAATGGATTATTGAAAGCTGGAAGCTTTTCAAATTTGTAGACTTAATGTGTTTCTTACAAAGAGTTGAAGATTTGTGCAGTTGCATTTGCTTGACCATGAACTCATGAAAAATGTTTCAACTTTAAACTATGATTACGTTTATGAATAGAAGATAGTAAAATGGTTGAAATCCTTATCTCAGTTCAAGAAGAAGATATAGAGTATACTTGCAATAGAAGTGTCCTTGTGGTAGTATTTCAGATGGGTTAGAATAGCATTCCAATAATGTCAACAACCAGTTATTAAAGTATGGTAAATTAAGTTAAACCAACAAATAAATTTAGATATAGAACTCCCATTGATTATTTTCAATTATATTTATACCTACTAAAACTAAAAGGTAGCAACTTTTGAAATGTGATTTCTTATACAGTTGTCTTATTCCTAGTTTTCTGCTACAAAAAAGCTTTGTAATATAATAAGTCATACTTATTTTATCATTTATGTTAGTATAATTCCAGGAAACCAAAGGTATTTTAATTTGAGTAAATTTACCTTATTCGATAATTACTAATCACCTTTAAGATGTTTTCCAACAGTCCAGGTAAATTATTTGAAAATAGCTTAAGATGTTTTTCTAACTCTTTTACCGTGTTCCTGTTTCAGGTTGCACCTCAAATTTCTAGTTGTTTAGTTTCTTTCCTATTCTTACTGTGTGTTTCCTTCTTAATTAATTTCGTGAGGAGTTCTTCATGCCGCAAACAGCAGTGTTGACACATTTTTATGCAGCTGAAGAACAATATAATAATCCACACTCGTAAATCGTAATAATCTTGTGCAGTTTTAGATCATGCTAAGCATGAATAGTTTAGGGAGAAATGTTAATCTCTTGAACTAAAGAAGAAAACTCACTGATAAAGGCTGCATATGGTGTCCATGTGAGAAGTGATCTTCACCTGCAATAAATACAGATTTTATATTTCAGGTGGCCAATCTAACTTGCACTTGAGATTTTGAATCATTAATGCAATTGGTTTGTAGAACTCTGCATTCAATCATTTGCATTTGCATATCAT